CCTTCAGCAAAGCCCAGTCCTTAGATAATTTTAAAAGTATTCAACCAAATATTAACTAGTGCTTTGATGTGCTGTCATCTTGTTAGTGGCACAGTGCTGTTAATTAGATAAACTATGGCTATTGAGTGAAATTTTAAGTTTTGAATAACATTTTGAATAGTTCAGTAAACCTCAAGTAACCGGGGGGCTTCGGGAATGGAATGTTTTTACTTTAGTTCAATTTTCTTGTTAAATAAGTTTTCGTTTGGAATTTATAAAATATGCCAAAATGTATTAGTATTTTTTTATGAATTAAATTCAATTTTCATTTGATTTAGTATCTCTCAATATATGTCAGGGTCATTGTATAGATGGAAAAACTAATTTTCTGACTGCTCCATTTTGGTCTTCCTAATCTACTTCTGTATCCTCCTCCTGAGTGATCAAATGTGTTCTGTTATCTATATAATGTTGATTTAGAATTAATATTTCCGGCCCAGATTTCTCTTTCTTTCTGAGTTCCAGATCCATCTCAAAATGCCTGCTAGGTTCTCTTCACATGGGTATTCCAAATGTATTTCAAACTCCAAATCAATATGATTTAATTAAGTCCATCTCACTCCCCAAACCTGTTCTCGCTCAGTGCACCACCACCTATGGCAAAGAGCAGGGAATCTTTCTTGCATCTTCTCTCTCACAGATCCCTCACCTACGGGATCCATCAGTTGTAATGAGTATACTATCAAAATGTCTTTTGAATCCCTCCCCCTTCTACCCTACTTCCAGTCTTTGGCTCTGTTTGGAATCATTTTGTCTTTCCTGGATTATTGCAAGAGACTTTTAACAGGTGTTCATCTAGTCAGGCAAGACCTGTAGGCTCCACTGGAAGCCAGAATGCATATCTGATCCGTTTACTCCCACTGTTGAAACCCTTTTGAGCCCTCAGGCTAGCAGGCTCTCCTTTCTCATCAGCAGTGGTTCTTCCAATACCCTTCGTCTACCTCTGTATTTCAGTCAAGCAAGTGTTCTTTGATTACCGGAGCTTCCCTTATATTCAGATTTTGTACATTCTATTCCTTTGCCTCTCTGCTTTGCTAAGTTAGCTTCTCTTCTTCCTTTTAGTATCTTCTTAGATGTCACTTTCTCAACTTGTGTCTGCACTGAAGCACCTTAACCAGGATTCGGTGTGTAACTCGAGATCTCTTTCACATACCTGAAATGTTTGATGACTGCCTCAGTAGAAGCCCCTGCATTTTATTGTCTCTTATATACTTAGAATTCCTGTACTTGGTGCTTTCTTTTCCCAAACCTGTTCTCCTACCCTCTCAGATTTTCCATTGTAATCTCAGGAGCACACATCCCTAGTAAACAGACTTATCTTAAATCCTTAACCCATTATTGTCTTTACTACATTCTGTGGAATAAGTTAAGTGTTCCCAGAAAAAGAATTTTATGGTCAAAAGAGTCAGGAAACCCTGAGTTAATAGTTTCCCCATCACAATGTATATTGTCAATCTCCAGGGTCGGGGTGGCGAGTGGATATAGTGTGGATCAGTTTCCACATCTCACATGGTGTTAACATCTTCACAGGTCAGTGCTTCCACTACTAACTAGTTTTAAAGGAAATTTGGCTTTGAAACAAAAAACAACAAAGAAAAACTGAAACTCTTTGAGTGGAAGCTGCTCCTTCCTCCACTCTACAAATTTTTGGGTATGAAGATTGCTGGTAGCCCCCACATCCCCAGAGTGAATTTTAGGTCACTGCTTCTCTAGTCTCATGTAAATATCCCTGCTCCTTTGGGGATCCTTTCAAGATCTTTTGAGGAATTTTATATCCTATGAAATTCAGCTCTACCAGGTACAGTGAGCTAGGTTTTTTTTTTTTCCCTCACATATTCACTGGTAGTGTCACATATCCCTATTCACTCGTAGTGGCTGCTTTTAGCACCATCTTGAGAAGGAATCCAAGGCTGTGTTTTGGCTCATCAGGATCACTTGTATTAGTCTATTAGTGATTATTCTTGACGAATTTAGCATTATACACCATGTATCGCTTATCATCTCTGGGCTCGTCCATCTTCTACCATTTGTCCCTTGTGATTTACAAATCTCTCATTTGATCTTCCATCTTCTTTAAAGAGCTCTCCACCCCCACCAACTCTCCAGATAATTCTAAGTGACTTCAGCATCCATGTGGAAAACGGCAAACATAAGCCTCATATTTTTCTGAACTTCCTGAGCTCCAGTGACCTTTATCTGTAAGTTACTTTATACACTTGCTGAGACCTCCTGAATTCTAAAGTCTCAATGTCTTCTGGTCTTCCTTTTCCCTCCTTTCACTATGGTTGTTCTTACCCCTTTTTGGTACCTAATATTCTTTGATACTACAATGTTTTCCGAGCCCCTTCAACCTTCTCTTGGTATCTTTACTTTCCTACCTAATCTGGAACTCTGAGCTATTCTCACTAGCATGTTTCATTTCTTCTTCTACCTTTATCCTTCCACTGAATCAACCCAGCAAAACCTCAGCTTTGCATGTGTGCTCAGCGCAACTCCCTGCTGGTTCCTGAGCGGAGCTGAGTATTGCTAACCGTAATCACAACAACCTTCCAGTCCAAACTCTTGCATGGCACGTAAGTCTCCCTTCAAAAAGTTTATTACTCTTCAATCTTGTGCCTTTGAAACTGTACCTCAGCCTTTCTGCTCCAATAGAGGGCAGACAAGTTTAACTTGCATGTGACTAGACTATATCTGCCTATACTTCCTGCATCATGTTTGTGAGATCAGACTTGGAGTTCTCTACACCCTAACTTGCCTTTGTTCATACCATCCTCCCGGCTTGGACCACTGTCCTAAGCCTTGTGCTTTACCAACTGACAATCTGCGCTACAAAAACTTATATACTGGGGCGCCTGGGTGGCTCAGTTGGTTAAGGAGCTGCCTTTGGCTCAGGCCATGATCTCAGGGTCTTGGGATCGAGCCCTGTGTCAGGCTCCCTGCTCAATAGAGCCTGCTTGTCCCTCTGCCTTTGCATGCTCCTCCCCTTGCTTCTGTGTGTGTGCACACTCTCTCTCTCTGTCAAATAAATAAATAAAATCTTAAAAAAAAAAAAAGAAATGAAAAACTCTTATATACCTTAAAGATTCATCTTCACACCCACCCCACATACCATCCCACTCTATCCCCTCTTGGTAAGGGACTTCATCATTTGTATATACTTTAAACAGAAGTCCTGTTTTCTAATGCTGTCTGGATTGAGAGTTGAACAATTAATTGAAAAAGTTGATTAAAGCTAGAGTTAAAAAAAAATACATGCAGACATGAAACATTTTATTTCAACTTAGAACTGAAATGCATTCATTTGTCAATTGTCTCGTGTATGACCAAGGGATTTTCTTTGAGTATGTGTACATGAATGGAATTCATTGTTACTTCATGAATGTACTGAACCCAGAATGCATCCTCTAGATTTCCAGTTTGGGTTTAAAAGAAAGAACTCAAGCTATTTGTGTAGCAATCTGAGCACGGAATCCTGGATTTGTATGGTTTTTTTCCCCACCGATCTTTTCAGTTGCATTGTCCATACCTACTTCAGTAATTGTTTTTCTTATGGAGACTTACCTTTATAAAGTCTTTCCAAGGCATTAAATCATAGAAATAACAGTTGTTTTTCTTTTTTACTTGTATTTTATTGGTTTGGTTTATGTAGCATTTAATTAAAGCATGTATTTATAATATACAAATTTGTGAATATAAACTCAACTGATGGGAGTAGAAGTGCTCATGATCAGCATGTTGTAGACATCAGTGTTTACTGAGGGAAGGGATATTATGTTGGTTAACCTGGCAAGTTGGTTGAATGGAGGTTGGATAAGAGAGTTTCTACTGTAATGATTTTTATTGCTTATCTCCCTTCATTACAATGTGAGCTCTTACAAGGCAAGGACTATATATATATATATATTTTTTTTCATTTTGTATGTCTAACCTTCCCCTATGCACAGTACCTACTGTAGATATTCAGTATGTGTTTCTTGGATGAATGAACAAATTCTTCTATAGGTCATACTAAATTTGAATAATCAGAAAGAACACTGTACTGAGAATCAGCTAGTATAGACAGATCATTGGCCTGGTAGCCAAACTGGGGTTTGAATCCTTTCTCATTTGCATTGCTTGAGCAGATTACTTTCTTTTATTCATTTGGGGAATGGGGATTACAGCAGTCTTTGGGTTGTGTGAGGATTAAATGGGGAGGTAAGGTGTTTAGCTTAGTGCTCGACGTAGTAAACAATCAACAAGTGCTAATTTTCCTGACGATGCTTATCACCAATGAGGAGAATATAGGAATTCACTTGGTCTAACTTTTCTCACCAAGGGTCTTGAACTATATAATTTACCAGTTTCCTTTTAGCTCTAAAATTCTCTTTTTATAAACAATGGTTCATGATTTGGACAGATTTATATAAGAAATATGTGGCTATTCCTTGATTTGTTACATTTGTAGATTCGATAAAGTAGGTTAATTGCTTAGATGATCATAACCTTACAAAACAGAACTTTCAGGCTTTAGAACATCATTTGTTAGTGAGTTGAACTCCCTAATAAAGTGTGAAGAACAGTGCAGATCTACTAAGCACTGCCACACTATCTACGTAAGAGCAAAGTAAGGTAGAATGTAGAGAAGGAAGCTCTGAGGAGATTGGAAGCATTAGCTTAGAAGAAGTGAGATGAAATTAAGCTCTTGAAACTAAATTTATGGACAGATTTAACTTTTTGAACCATAGATGTGTATTTGTAATAAATATAGGTTTTAAGTTTTCATGTTGATCACATTTTCTTTCTGATTAAGAAATGGGGATGAGTGAGAAAGATGGAAACATAGCACTTTTTTGGAATGGCTCTGAGGATATTTTCCATTCTATGTCCCAAATTTTGGTTTGTTTAAAGAAGTAAGGGATTTAGCAGAATTCCTTTTAGCATTCATTCTACAGCTCATGCTTATACTGTTTTTATATTGCAGTTATCAATTAGTATGGAAGAAGATGAGTTCTTTGGAGAAAAAGCATTCCAGCGTTTTTGTGTAGAATTCATTAAACATTCACGGCAGATAGGTGATGGCTGGGAATGGAGAACTTCGAAGGTAAGAACAGAAACTTTTATTTTCTATTTTAATGAAGTTTTTTTGTTTTTTTGTTTTTTTTTGGCTGTATAAAACCTCAGTTATTGAGGGGTGCCTGGGTGGCTCAGTCAGTTAAGCGGCTACCGTCGGCTCAGGTTATGATCCCAGGGTCCTGGGATCGAGCCCTGCATCGGGCTCCCTGCTCGGCAGAGAGGCTGCTTCTCCCTCTCCCTTGGCCTGCCGCTCTGCCTACTTGTGCTCTCTCTCTATCTCTGTTAAATAAATAAATAAAAATCTTTTAAAAAAAACCTCAGTAATTGAAACTAATGTATGAAAGCTAGTTGATTTAGTAAAAGGCTTAAATTGAAGAATGTTTTAAAAAAGATGTCCATTTTATTGTTGCAACTATATATACTCATTATAATTTGGCTAATGAAGTATTATCTAGAAAAGTCCTTAGGTGACCTGCTTTAATTTAATAGATAAGAATGCTTAGCATATTAATTATCTGAATGTAAACAGATGCTTCTGTGGTGCTTCAAACCATTTATTTACACTAGGAAAGTACTTTTGTCCAGAGAGTGGAAAGATAATCCTGAAACCAAACCATAGTCAAACAATCACAAAGTCTGAAATATTGAAGAATGAATTAATTGGAAATTTCTTAATAATATAAACACATTCCAAAGCATTCTTTCTTTTGGTTCTATTCAGTAATAATAATGTAAAAGGTCTATGGACTCATCTATTTCCACACATACACTTAGTAAGGATTCTCTGCCAAAAGCTCTTTAAGAGTTCCTTGAGATAATTTTCTGAGAGGATAAATTTTCTCTACTTGATATCTTAATCTGATGCCTAAAAAAAATGGTGATTCCCTATTTTCTGCTTATTGGCTCTATTTGCTATATGAACTCTGAGAAATGTGAATACTTTTGAGCTGATTCCTATGATTCAGAAGTAGGGCAGGGAAATGCGGGTTTTGATCTGATCCATGATGTCACCGGAGAGAGAAGCCATGATTTCCCTTTGGGTCATGTGCCAGCTAAGCTTTCACGGGGCGGGAGTGGGGAGGTATCATGAGAGCCTCCAGCCCCACTCTTTAAGTTAGTGATTGGACAGTTCATAAGCTCCTAAGTTATCTCCTGCTCCAGGATAACATGACTTTATTATTAGTACCTTTTATTAATCTTTTTCTTGAGTATTTTATAATTTTGTTTGCTATTGTGTTTGTTTTTATTCCTCTTTATTCATCTTTTATTGCCTTCATCCCGACTTTATTTATTTATTTATTTATAATCAGAGAGAGAGAGAGAGAGAGAGCACAAGCAGGGGGAGCAGCAGGCAGAGGGAGAAGCAGGCTCCCTGCTGAGCAAGGAGCCCGATGTGGGACTTGATCCCAGGACCTTAGGATCATGACCTGAGCTGAAGGCAGCTGCTTAACTGGCTGAGCTACCCAGGCGTCCCCATCTCGACTTCAATATCAATGTTTCTGATATATAATGATTTTTTTTAAATGTTGGCTGTTTATTCATTGAATGAATGTAGGTTTCTGATCCCTTTTGACCTGTAATAATTTGTATGGTTATTCCTGAGAAACTTTTCCTTTCCTTTCCACAAATTTTTTTTTAAAAAGAAATTTTCTTTTGTCTTAAGCTGGAGGTAGAATAATAGATACTCTAGTTACTGTTTCAGTGACCTAGTAGAATGGGGGAGGAAAGGTTAGGGAGGGAGATGGGACTGTGTGTGTGTGTGTATGTGTGTGCATGCGTGTGCATGCATGTTGGGGGTTGCTGGGGAAGGTCTCCAGGAGGGAGATTCATAATAATAGAATATCTGTTAGAAATTTCTTCACTGTATTTGTTGAAGCTAGTGTGCCAAGAACTAGTTTCCAGGATTTGTTTTTATTCTTGTCTGGCCTCTGCTTCAGGGATGGGGATGGCTATGTTTGGCTTCTTGTTTGTTGCTACTGCCTGCTCAGTTAGGAAAGTTACCTACCCTTTGGAGTTGGAATTGCACCTCTAATTAAGGGCAGGTTTTTTTGTTTTTGTTTTTATTATTTTTTTTAATGTGGAGGTGAGCCCATAGATAGTACCAAAACAAACAAAACGCTGTTTAGAGAAAATCTTTGTAACCTTAGGGCAAGGACTACAAACTCAAAAGCCTTGGAGTCCAGGCATGGTAACATAAATGGATCAAGCTGCCAGGTACAAGACAATATGGACACTGAGTTCTAAGGCCTGTGCTGAGCAGAGTGCTTGTCCTTTTGCCAGGTTGGGAACGTGGACCCAAGAGTTAATCAGACCTTTCAAGAAAAGTAAAGATATTTCCCCCCAAAAGAGTGGGGGGGGGGAGAAATCTCTAAATTTTCAAATATTGGCAACTACTTAAAAAACAGTTTTCAGAAGTAGGACCAAACCCATGCTAGTGATGAATAAAATGTGGGATATGAGTGGCCAGTTGATGATTTCTGGGATTGGGTATGTGTGTGGTATAACTGTGGTTTCTTACCCAGCCCTGCTTCAGTGCATGCTGTTGATCTGAGTTAGTAAAGGGGGCTCTTGGCAAAGCAGATACCTCTCTTGTGAATTTTGGTAGGTTTGTATTTTTGCCACTTAATTTCTGCAGTGCTGGACCACTTTTATGAAGGAAATTACGAATCAGTCACTTGGTTATTTCCTTCAAACCTTCAGTCTTTATCTCAGTCTTTTTGTTGGACTGTTTGGAGAGAATACTTATACTGTTGTTTTACTTCATAGGCTCCAGAAATTTATTTTTATTTTATTAAAAATAGTTGTCTTGAGGTATAATTGGGAAACAACAAGCTGTGCATAGGTGAGACCCATGAACCGTCACTGTAGTCAAGAGGGTGATCATATCCATTACCCCCAAAAGGTTGCTTTTATACCTTTGTAATGCCTCCCTCTGCCCTTGAAAGTTATTTTTTTTTTTTAAAAGCCTCTTTTTTTTTTTTTTAAGATTTTATTTATTTATTTGAGAGAGAGAGAGAGAATGAGAGATAGAAAGCACGAGAGGGAAGAGGGTCAGAGGAAGAAGCAGACTCCCTGCTGAGCAGGAAGCCCGATGCGGGACTCGATCCCGGGACTCCAGGATCATGACCTCAGCCAAAGGCAGTCGCTTAACCAACTGAGCCACCCAGGCGCCCGCCCTTGAAAGTTATTTATTGTATTTTTTCCTGGAAGCTATTTTTAAAAAGAATCTTGTTTATCCCTATATATAGAACCTCCTTTAAAGAGTACACATTTGTCACTCATACCTTCAGGTTTGTTTATAAATACCCCTCAGGAAGGTGGTATACTCTTGTTGAGAGCCATTGTTTAACATAATGGTCTGTTAGATATTAAAGATATTCGTTAAGAGCATGGACTTCAGAGTTAGACATGGCTATTAATCCTTACTCTACCATTTACGAGCTGGATTTTGGACAAGTAACTTAAGGTCTCTAAACTTCATTTTTTTTTTTTTTTTACTTATAAAATAGGAATAAAAATAATACCCACCATACATCATGGTAGTTGTGTAGATTAAATAGGATTTACATTCAAAGAGTTTAGCACAATTTCTGGCACATGGAAAGCCATATTATGGTTATGACTTTTAGCTGGTTGTTTGAAATTTTCAGTATCTTTTATTTTAGAAATAATGCTATAAATGAAATTGTAGTTAAGTTTTCAGAAAACTCTGTGAAAATCTATTTACCACCAAATATACTGTGCTGGTCTTTAGTGTATTATACTGAGTCCTCCAGGATAAGACGAAGAGCAAAAGATGGCAAACAACAATGAATGCATGCAATGAAAACTTTTTTTTTTTTTTTTTTAGATTTTAATTACTTACTTGAGAGAAAGCAAGTGAGAGTGCGTGTTATGAGGGGGGAGTGGCAGGGAGGGGCAGAGGGAGAGGGAGAAGCAGACTTTCTGCTGAGCAGGGCACCTGACATGGGGCTTGATCTCAGGACCCTGAGATCAGGACCCGAGCTGAAGGCAGCCGCTTAACTGACTGAGCCATCCATTTCAGCCACTCTGAAAAACAAGTATCTTAAAAACCCATCAGTTCATAATGTTAGAAAGAGAAAGAGAGATGGAGAATGAACAGGAGAGAGTGGAATAGAAGAGTCTCCAAACCTAACTCATTGAATATTTTTGGTTTGAAAATTGTTAATCAAAAGGAAAGAAATAAGCATTTATCTTACCTTTCCTGTATTATCTGTATTTCATGGTAGCTAAATAGGCTAATTTGATAAGGGAACTGTTTTCCCCCAGAATTCCATCTGATAAATGTAGAAAGGATGGTAGAATTAGAAAATCATTACTTTTCAATCCCTAATGAAATGAATTAGGTGACAGTAATCAGTGGATGAAATTATTAGGTGAGAGGTTGATGGGGAATTTACAAAGGAGGGATTGAACTATCATCACCTGAACCCTAGTGATTAATCATGGCATTACTAAAAATAGTACATTCAGGTACTATATACTTGGTGAAGTTTTATAATATGAATCGCAGAGTGCACTCCATGAAATATTCTTGCCCAAAATGTTGAGCCTGAATAGAATCAATTAAGGAAGTCAAGTGATAGAGAACCAAGTTAATTGACACCACAGGAAACAAATAGAGAAATCCAGAAATCTAAAGGACAAATGACCCAATTTCCTTAAAAAGTTAATGGTTGGGTAAAGAAGTGAGGAGAGGATTGCATCTCTAACTATCTGGTATTGAAGACCAAGCTTGTTTTGTTTTTAAAGTATCCTCTGAGAGCGCTTGGGTGGCTCAGTCAGTTAAGCATATGACTCTTGATTTCAGCTCAGGTCATGATCTCAGGGTTGTGAGATCAAACCCCATATCACGCTCCGTGCTGGGCATGGAGGCTGCTTTACATTCTCTTTCCCTCTCCCTCTGCTCCTGCCCCCCACACCACTCTCTTAAAAAAAAATCCTTTCTGGGCAGCGACTGGTAGGTGGTCCTAGTGTGCAGCTCATGAGTCACCATGGGAGGGTTAG